AATCTAAAGCAGGAACTAATTGCCAATTAATAATAAAAAAATAGAATATTTTTTTTTAAATGGCAATATTGATGCATGATGAATGACTGAATTATTTGTAAGTTAAATCTTTAACGACAGTCTTAATGCATTGAAGCATTTCAATTGTGTTGATAATCTGTAACTTAAAATGTAGCACATCCTTCCAACATTTGAATAACAAAAATGTTGGATATATAGTCTAACCAAAAACACCTATTACAAACAACTGATTTCCTGAAGTCACAGGTCTGCAGCTTGGGGGTCCTCCTGGACTCAGCGCTGACGCTTGATGCGCAGGTGTTGGCGGTGGCCGGGGAGGGCCTTTGCACAATTAAAACTTGTGCGCCAACTGCGACCATACCTTGTGAAGTCTGACTTGACCATGATGGTCCACGCCTTAGTTACCTCTAAACTGGACTACTGCAATGCACTCTACGTGGGGCTACCCTTGAAGACGGCCCGGAAATTACAACTTGTCCAAGGTTCGGCAGACAGATTAATAACGGGCTAGTTATAGGGAGCGGCCAACTCCCATGTTTAAGGAGCTCCACTGGCTGCCGTTTATTTTCCGGTCTCAATTCAAGGTACAGGTTATCGCCTACAAAGCCCCAAATGGTTTGAAACCTGCCTACCTTCGTGACCGTATCTCTACGTACCAACCCGGGCCCTTAGATCTTCGGGGGAGGCCCTCCTTTCACCCCTACCAATCTCACAAGCTCCTCTTGTGGGCACAAGGGAAAGAGGCTTCTCCTCTGTGGCTCCTCGACTTTGGAACTCATTACCTGGAGAGATCAGGAAAGCCCCTTCTCTAGAAACGTTCAAAAAGAACCTGAAAACCTGGCTCTTCCGCTGTGCCTTTGGCGAGTAGGTGCACAGTATGACACCATTGCACCCCTCAATGCTCTTCCCACTAGAATACACGCCCTCCAAATGGGAAGTTTAGCTTCACAACTATGTGTGTTTTTATGAGTTCCCTGCAGATAACTTGCTCCTATTTTTATCTCATTAGAGTCTTTGAATCATTTTTATCCTGTACATGTAGCCTGCCCATTGTTATTGTGATTGTGCTTATTGGAATGTTATTTTATGACTGTGGTTATATATTTCTTCTTGATGTAATTTGATGATGTTGTTTATTGTTTATGCTCTGGTTTTATCTTCTTGTAATATGTTGTCCGGGCTTGGTCCCATGTAAGCCTCTCTGAGTCCCCATTGGGGAGATGGTGGCGGGGTATAAATAAAGTTTATTTATATATTTACTAGCTTGGGGACCCGGCGCTGCCCGGGTTATTAGAGAAAGGAATTGTATATCAAGGTTGGTCTTTATCAGTTATTTATATGGCTTGCAGTGGTCTCAGGAAGTTAGTGAAGGTACTGTGAGTCCCATCATCTGTGGTCCATCGTCCTCCAAACTGCACCAGGATGGAGAGAGGGTCATGGGGGCTCTGTGTGCTAAGTTTGGTCTTGATCAGTCATTGGATGAGGGTCACAGCAGTCTCAGAAAGTGAGTTAAGGTACTGCAAGTCCCATCATCCGTAGTCTCCCTCAAGCATCACCAGAATGTTGAGTTGGCCATGGGGGCTCTCTGTGCCAAGTTTGGTCTTTATTGGTATTTGGATGAATGTCACTGTGGTTTCAGGAAGTGAGTGAAGGTACTGCAAGTCCCATCATCCATTGTCCGTCCTCCTCCAAACAGCACCAGGATGTAGACTCTCTCATGGGGGCTCTGTGTGCCAAGTTTGGTCTTGATTGGTCATTAGATGAGGGTTTCAGCAGTCTTGGGAAGTGAATGGAGGTACTTGAAGTCCCATCATCCATAGTCTGTTCTCCCCCAAACCTCATCAGAATGTTGAGTTGGCCATGGGGGTTCTGTGTGCCAAGTTTGGTCTTCATCAGTCATTGGATGAGGGTCTCAGTAGTTTCACTGAGTAAAGGAACTGCAAGTCCCATTGTCCATGGTGCATCATGCTCCAAACCGAACCAGGATGTAGAGTGCATCATGGAGACCCAGTGTGCCAAGTTTGGTCCTTATCGGAAATTGGATGATGGTTGCAGTGGTCTCAGGAATTGAGCGAAGATACTGCAAGTCCCATAATCCATGCTCGATCTACAGTCAAACCACACCATGGCGTAAAGTGGGTCATGAGAGGTCTGTGTGCCAAGTTTGGTGTTGTTCAGTCATTGTTGAGGGTCGCAGCAGTCTTGGAAAGCGAGTAGAGGTACTTCAAGTTCCATCATCCATGGTATGCCCTACTCCAAACCGCAGTAGGATGTAGAGTGGGTCATGGGGGCTCTGTGTGCCAAGTTTGGTTTTGTTTGGACATTAGATGAGGGTTGCAGCAGTCTTGGGAAGAGAGTGGAGGTACTTGAAGTCCTATCATCCATGGTCTGTCCTCCTCAAAAGTACACCAGGATGTAGAGTGGGTCATGGGGACTCTGTGTGCCAAGTTTGGCCTTGATCAGTCATTGGCAAGGGTCTCAGTGGTCTCAGGAAGTGAGTGAAGTGACTGCAAGTCCCATCATCCATTGTCAAATTCTTCCAAACCGCACCAGGATGTAGAGTGGGTTATGCGGGCTCTCTGTGTAAATTGTGGTCCTGATCCATCATTGTTGGCAGTTATAATGGTTTTAGGAAGGGAGTGCAGGTATTGCAAGTCCCATCGTCCATGGTGCATCCTCCTCCAAGCCGCACAAGGATGTAGAGTGCGTCATGGAGACTCAGTGTGCCAAGTTTGGTCTTTATCGGTAATTGGATGAGGGTTGCAGTGGTCTCAGGAATTGAGCAAAGGTACTGCAAGTCCCATAATCCATTGTCCATCCCCGGCCAAACCACACCAGGACGTAAAGTGGTTCATGAGAGGTCTATGTGCCAAGTTTGGTCCTGATCAGTCATTGGATGAGGTTAACAGCGGTCTCAGAATGTGAGTGATGGTACTGCAAGTCCCATCATCCATGGTTCATCCTCCTCCAAACTGCAGTAGGATGTCGAGTGGGTCATGGGGGCTCTGTGTGCCAAGTTTGGTCTGTATTGGTAATTTTCTGACTCACCCCTCTGGCCTTTTCCTTTCCTCTCTTTGTCATCTCGGGATCTTGGAATTGAGGCTGGCCAATCAGAGACCATATGCAAATTTCCTTCTCATGTCCCCGTTTCTGCCATGAACTCTTTCTCCACCAGGGGCTCCTATTGAAGCTGGCCAATCAGAGACCATATGCAAATAGCACCACAGCGGCAGCCAATCAGAACGCTGGCACATACACTTCCGCCCTCCGCACCTCTGTCCTTCCCATACAAACACTCTCTTTTATTATACGTATAGATTTATAAGTTATATGTCTTGATAACACAAAGTTAAAAACCTGGCATTATACTAATTTTTCTTTGACCAGAAGCTGGCCACTTGAAGTGCCTCTGGTGTTGCTGTAAGGAGGTCCATTGTGCATGTGGCGGGGCTCAGACTGCATTGCAGTAAGTAGTCTGTGGTTTGCTCTTATCCACACTCACATGCTGTGGACTCTATTTCTTAAAGTTAGATCTGTATCTCGTGGTAGCCTAGTTAGCTGAAAATCTTATGAAACTACAACTCCTACGATTCCTATGACCAAGCCTATGCGGTCAGTGGTTCCCTTGATGTATGGCAAGAACACTTTTCCTCTGGGTGGATCTTCATCTTTACTCTCGTGGCTTGTTCTCGGTCTTGCAGCTCTTCTGATGTCTGAGGTGGAGTATCCATTGGCCTGTAGAGCCCAGTTTAGGTGGTTCCTCAGAGGAAAACTGATGAGGAAACACAACATACAAAGCACTTACAGACCCACCAAGAAAATCCAACAAATGCTACATTCAGCAAAGGACAAGAGGGATCCTCTCACCTCTGCAGGAGTCTACCGTATACCATGCAGCTGTGGACAAGTCTACATAGGGACCACCAAACGCAGCAGTGCCCAAACACAAATCAAGGAACATGAAAGGCACTGCAGACTACTCCAACCAGAGAAATCAGCCATAGCAGAGCACCTGATGAACCAACCTGGACACAGCATATTATTTGAGAACACAGACGTGCTGGACCACTCTCACAACCACCATGTCAGGCTACACAGAGAAGCCATTGAAATCCACAAGCATGTGGACAATTTCAACAGAAAGGAGGAAACCATGAAAATGAACAAAATATGGCTACCAGTATTAAAGGACTCAAAAATCACAACAACAAAACAACAGAGGGGAAACAATCAGGCACATAAAATCACTCTCAACAAGGGATTCTCCCCCGGGCACTTCCAAGCCATTGAATGCTAATCAAGGTGGTCAGTTGAAACATTCACACCTAGCCCCAGCAGAAAAAAGTCCTTTGTCTCACCCTGGTCATTCCACAGATATATAAACCCATTTTTCCTACTTCCAACAGGCCTCACTACCTCTGAGGATGCTTGCCATAGATGCAGGCGAAACGTCAGGAGAAAATTGCCTCCAGACCATGGCCATGTAGCCCGGAAAAACTTACAACAACCCAGTATTATTATTATTATCCTGATGGAAGAAATTCGTGGCTGTAGGGAGTGACGGAAACAGAGGCATTGTTGAGGTAATCCACTCAAGAGATGAGGCGAAAGCGGCGGGGGCGACTCCAAACGTAAGGATATTGTTTTATTATTATTATTTTATTATCTTGAGGAGGGACGCAAGGCAGGAAAGAGTTTAGGCCCGAAAGGGAGGGGCGGAGGCGGGAGGGTGGAAGGCCTCGAGGCGGGCAAAAAAGGCGCCGAAAGGGAGGGAGGGAGGGAGGGCGGGGCGAGCAGGCCGCAAGCGTCCCCCGCGTTGCCATGGCGCCCGCGGCTTTGTGGCGATTGGCGGAGCCGCCTGCGCCGCGGGGGCCGCTGGGAGGGCTTCAAAGCGCCGGCGTGGGGTCGAACGGCTTCCCCCCGCAGCTGAGGCGGAGGCGGCGGCGAGGGAGGTTGAGGTAACCCCTCAAGGGGGCGGGGCAGGGGCAGGGTCACGGGAAGCCGGGCAGGGGCTGACTCTGCCGCCGTCTCCCCGCAGGTCCCTCACACCACCACCACCATGCCCACTTCCACGCCTCCGAGGCCCACGCGGGGGGCAGCCCACTCCACCCCGCCCTCGAGCTCCGACGCCGACCTCGAGGGGAGCCGCCCTCGGCCTTCACTCTTCGCCCTGGCCTCGCCAAGCTTCCAGGGCTGCAGCCGCAAGGAGCAGGAGGAGGGGTCCGGCAGCAGGACAGGCTGCATCCCTCAGAGGATGAGGCACCATAGGTAAGGCCCCGCCAGGGTTGGCCACGGTCACAATGGGGATATTGTTCTTCTTACAGTAAGCCAGGCATGGGCAAACTTGGGCCCTCCCGCCCTCCAGGTGTTTTGGATTTCGACTCCCATAATTCCTAACAGCCTCAGGCCCCTTCCGACTCTTCCTGACCTCATGGACCAGCACACATAAAATCATAGAGTTGGAAGAGACCTCATGGGCCATCCAGTCCAACCCCCTGCCAAGAAGCAGGAAACTTACATTCAAAGCACCCTTGACAGATGGCCATCTAGCCTCTGGGTTGTAGGTTTTTTCGGGCTATATGGCCATGTTCTATAGAGGCATTCTCTCCTGACGTTTCGCCTGCATCTATGGCAAGCGGAGTATTCATTAGCAGATGGCTAGCTAAACAGCCACCAGACGGGCAGTAGCTAATCAGAGTGTAAGTATACTGTTTTAATCTTTATTTATTAATGTTCATATTAATTGTTATATTTGTTATTCTGTATTCTGTATTTTATGATGCGTCATTGAATTATTGCCAATTGTAAGCCGCCCTGAGTCCCCCCCAGGGGTTGAGGAGGGCGGGGTAGAAATGCTCGAAATAAATAAATAAATAAATAAGCATCCGCAGAGGTAGTGAGGTCTGAGGAAAAGTGTTCTTGCCATACATCAAGGGAACCACTGACCACATAGGGAAGCTGATGAGGAAACACAACATACAAACTATCTACAGACCCACCAAGAAAATCCAACAAATGCTACGTTCAGCAAAGGACAAGAGGGATCCTCTCACCTCTGCAGGAGTCTACCGTATACCGTGCAGCTGTGGACAAGTCTACATAGGGACCACCAAACGCAGCATTGCCCAAACATGAATCAAGGAACATGAAAGGCACTACAGACTACTTCAACCAGAGAAGTCAGCTATAGTAGAGCACCTGATGAACCAACCTGGACACAGCATATTATTTGAGAACACAGAAATGCTGGACCACTCGCACAACCACCATGTCAGACTACACAGAGAAGCCATTGAAATCCACAAGCATGTGGACAATTTCAGCAGAAAGGAGGAAACCATGAAAATGAACAAAATCTGGCTACCAGTATTAAAGGACTCAAAACTCACAACAACAAAACAACAGAGAGGAAATAATCAAGGACATCTAATCACCTCTCAACAAAAGATTGCTTCAGGCACTGCCAGGCCATCAAATGCTTATCAAGGTGGTCAGTTGAAACATTCACACCTAGCTCCAACAGACAAGAGTTCTTTGTCCCATCCTGGTCATTCCACAGATATATAAACCCATTTTCCTAGTTCCAACAGACCTCACTACCTCTGAGGATGCTTGCCATAGATGCAGGCGAAATGTCAGGAGAGAATGCCTCTAGAACATGGCCATATAGCCCAAAAAAACCATACAACAACCCAGTGATTCCGGCCATGAAAGCCTTCGACAATACATCTAGCCTCCTTCCAAAGAAGGAGCCTCCACTACACTCCATGGCAGAGAGTTCCACTGCTGAATGGCTCTCACAGTCAGTAAGTTCTTCCTAATACTCAGGTGGAATCTCCTTTCTTGTAGTTTGAAGTCATTGTTCCGTGTCCTAGTCTCCAGGGCATCAGAACACAAGCTTGCTCCCTCCTCCCTATGACTTCCTTTCACATATTTATACACGGCTATCATGTCTCCTCTCAACCCTCTCTTCAGGCTAAACATGCCCAGCTCTTTAAGCCGCTCCTCATAGGGCTTGTTCTCCAGATCCTTGATCATTTTAGTCACCCTCCTCTGGACACATTCCAGCTTATCAATATCTCTTCTGTTGTAGTGCCCAGAATTGGACACAATATTCCAGGTGTGGTCTAACCAAGGCAGAAAAGGGGGTAGCATGACTTCCCTGGATCTAGACACTATACTCCTATTGATGCAGGCCAAAATCCCATTGGCTATTTTTGCTGCCGCATCACGTTGTTGACACTTCAGAACTCCCTGTGGCTGTCAACACCCCCAGACTCCTTCAGAGTCAAGCCAGTCACTTCAAGGATGCCATCCATCCATCTTGCCCTTGGTCGGCCCCTCTTCCTTTTTTCCTTCCATTTCCCCCAGCATCATTGTCTTCTCTAAGCTTTCCTGTCCTCTCATGATGTGGCCAAAGTACTTCAACTTGGTCTCTAATATACTTCCCTCCAATGAGCAGTCGGGCTTTCTTTCCTGAAGTATGGACTGGTTGGATCTTCTTGCGGTCCAAGGAATTATGAGAGTCAAAGTCCAAAACATCTGGAGGGAGGGCCCAAGTGTGCCCATGCCTGCAGTAGACTCAACTAAAGCAAAGTCGTGGGGATTTGTTAAGGTTAATGATAGTTTATGGTTGCTTAATGTTTGCAATTAAAAAGAGGCAAACTCCTATACCTCATCCAATCCCATACCCCCCAATATCAAGTATTGACTTGATATTGGAGATATTTCTTTATAGCAAAATAATATGGTTGCACTCTTGACAAGAACAACGTTTCCATGACACAAATAAAGTTCAACCTTCACACTGGAACGTCACACATGACACCTTCGTATACTGAGGCTTACCTAACAGACTAAGGCCTAACTCACACAGAGGCTTCTCTCACAGCCTAAAGCCTACCTTACACTATGAGGCTTCTCTCACAGACTACGACCTTTCTCCCACTGAGACAAACTAACACAGAGGCCTACTAAGCTACAGGCACACCTGCTTATATCGAACTACAGCTTTTGCCAACTTATTGCATCCATTTAATCCTTTCAGTGTTTGAGTCACATTTTTCTAATTAAAAATACCTAGTTAATTAATATTTCTGACATAATGTTCAGGTGGAATCTCCTTTCCTGTAATCCAGTGGTTCACAACCTGTGGTCCATGGACCACTAGTAGTCCCCCAAAATTAAAATATGGTCCGTGGCCTCACCATTTCTACATCGTTGCCTCGAAATCACACAGCAATGAGAGTGACTGGTCTCGCGAAACACACTTATAGTGCCAAGACAACAGGGATGTCGGGAGGGGAGAGGCTGACTACCCACGAAAGATTACTACTACCGCATCAGTTCTTGATTATTAAATATGGTTTTCTGTGGGCAAGCAGATGGTGACTACTGGATGGAATATGTTCTGTATAAGAAACTATAGCTGATAACTGGCCGATAGTTGTCGAATTTAGTGGGGTCCAGTGATGGTTTCTTCAACAGCTATAATAAAACCGCTGTTGAAGAAACCATCACTGGACCCCACTAAATTCGACAACTATCGGCCAGTTTCCAATCTCCCCTTCTTGGGCAAAGTCTTGGAACGTGTGGTGGCCTCACAACTCCAGGTATTCTTGGTAGACACGGATTATCTAGACCCGGCACAGTCTGGCTTTAGGCCGGGACATGGTACCGAGACAGCCTTGGTCGCCTTAGTGGATGATCTGCGCCGGGAGCTCGACAGGGGGAGTGTGTCCCTGTTGGTGCTGCTTGACCTCTCAGCGGCCTTCGATACCGTCGACCACGGTATCCTTCTGGGACGCCTCGCAGGGATGGGTCTTGGAGGTACTGTTTTGCAGTGGCTCCGGTCATTCCTGGAGGGTCGATCTCAGAAGGTGTTGTTGGGGGACACCTGTTCAACCCCACAACCATTGTCTTGTGGGGTTCCTCAGGGCTCAATATTGTCTCCCATGTTGTTTAACATCTACATGAAGCCGCTGGGGAGATCATCCGGAGTTTCGGGGTACGGTGTCATCTGTACGCGGATGATGTCCAACTCTGTCACTCCTTTCCACCTGCTACTAAGGAGGCTGTCCAGGTCCTGAACCGGTGCCTGGCCGCTGTGACGGTCTGGATGAGGGCGAACAAATTGAAATTGAATCCATACAAGACAGAGGTACTCCTGGTCAGTCGCAAGGCCGAACAGGGCATAGGGTTACAGCCTGTGTTGGATGGGTTACACTCCCCCTGAAGACGCAGGTTCGCAGCTTGGGAGTGATCCTGGACTCATCGCTGAGCCTGGAACCCCAGGTCTCGGCGGTGGCCGGGAGAGCTTTTGCACAACTAAAACTTGTGCGCCAGCTGCGCCCGTACCTTGGGAAGTCTGACTTGGCCACGGTGGTCCACGCTCTTGTTACATCCCGTTTAGACTACTGCAACGCTCTCTACGTGGGGTTGCCTTTGAAGACAGCTCGGAAGCTCCAACTAGTCCAACGCTCGGCAGCCATGATTTTAACAGGAGCGGAGCGCAGGGAGCATACACCCCCCTGTTGCGCCAACTCCACTGGCTACCGATCTGCTACCGGGCTCAATTCAAAGTGCTGGCGTTGGCCTTTAAAGCCCTAAACGGTTCCGGCCCAAGCTACCTATCTGACCGCATCTCTGCCTATGAACCCACCAGGTTTGAGATCTTCCGGGGAGACCCTGCTCTCGATCCCGCCTGCTTCTCAAGCTCGGCTGGCGGGGACGAGAGATAGGGCCTTCTCGGTGTTGGCTCCTCGGCTGTGGAACGCCCTTCCTACGGACATTAGACTAGCACCATCTCTAATGGTATTCCGCAAAAAGGTGAAGACCTGGATGTTTGTGCAGGCGTTTGAGTAATTTAGTGCAATCTGGTAATGGAACATAGGAATGGAACAAGGGACGACGAACCTGGACTATGCTTGGATGATGAGAAGATTGGGTACGGTTGTTTTTTGTAATAATTGTGCATTGTAACTGCTTATTGGTAATTTATGGATAATGTGTTAAGTCAATTGTTATATGTTGTATGGAACCACTGCTGTTTCTACTGTTTTTACTGTTTGTGAACCGCCGTGAGTCGCCTTCGGGCTTGAGATACAGCGGTATATAAGCAAAGTAAATAAATAAATAAATAATAAATGTGGTCTATCCAATGCAATTTTCTGAATCAGCATCCCAAACCAAATCTAAAGATGACCACAAACTGATCATAACCCTTTTGGTACTGATGTTGGAGAGTGGTCAAAAAAAGGTTGGGAACCACGACTGTAGTCTGAACCTGGTGCTCCGAGTCCTAGTTTCAAGGGCAGCAGAAAACAAGCCTGCTCCTTACAACATCCTTTCACATATTTATACATGGCTGTCATGTCTCCTCTCAGCCTTCTTTTTGGCAGGCTAAACACACCCAGTTCTTTAAGACACTCCTCATAGGGCCCTTCCACACAGCCATATAACCCAGAATATCTGCTTTGAACTGCGTTACCTGAATCCACACTGCCATATATCCAGTTCAAAGCAGATATTGTGGGATTTTATTCAGCTGTGTGTGGAAGGGCCCATAGAGCATGGTCTCCAGACCTTTGATAATTTTAGTTGCTCTCCTCTGGATACCTTCCAACTTGTCAATATCTCTTTTAAACTGTTGTACTCCGAATTGGACACAGTAATCCAGGTGAGGCCCATGACTTTCCTCAATCTAAATGCTCTACTCCTTTTGATGCAGCCCAAAATCCCATAGGCTTTTTTATGTGGCATCACATTGTTTATGCGGCATCACATTGTTTGTTTGCTGATGTTCAACTTGTTGTCCACAAAGACTCCCAAGATCTTTTTCACATGGACTGTTGTCAAGCCAGGCATTACCCATTCCGTGTCGGGGACTGCCTGTATACTGTTTCAGAGCAGTATACATGCGGTCCCCGAGTTACAAACATCCAACTTACAGACGTCTCACAGTTAAGAATGGGGCTGAGACAACAGGAAGTGTGAGAAATCTACCCCTAGGAAGGTAAATTCACTCCTGGAAGAGTCATCATGGGGAAAAGGTGTATTGTGATATTTTCTGAAAACACAAGTTATGGGTATTGCCCTTCCACACAGCCATATAACCTAGATTGTGGAAGCTTCTTTTGCCAGAGAAAGGGTGTCACAAGGATTTGCAGGTAGTTAGAGCTGATTTTTAAAGCAATTCATTTTACTATTTCATGTGGTTTAAAACTATTTAATAAAAGATTTAATGTAATGCTAACAAGTGATTTTTTCAAAATCTGACTTTATTTTTCAGTTTTGGTCAGGAAAGTGAAGGAAGTTGTTCAGGATAATGGGCAATACAATGTTAGTGTCAAAAAAGATGGGTTCTGTAACCTGTATAAACTGGGAAATAGGTTCCATTTTAAATGAGGGTATTTATTGGCATTATGTACTTTAAACTAAAGAGTTCATTCATCATCATGTGAATGCATTTACATTAATGCGATATGGCTCCCAAATCTTCTTAGATGGGGGATGATACAGCAAAAAGTATTTTTTTACCAGTGATTTCTACTTCCCTTGTGGATAAGTACATTGTTTATAATGTCATGATGATATCAGTGTCATAAAGATGCTAGAAGTGTCTCTGTTGTGGGAACTCCTTAGCTTGAAGAAGCCATTCCAGGGCTCATGTAAAACAGCTTTCTCCTGCATTTCTCTCATTTTGTGCTCTGAATTCATAGCTAAGGGGCTTTTAATATGGTATTAAGACACAGGGTTTTTTTGACCTCTTGAAATGAGAAGAGTGATGAAGAGTGGTCCAGATCTTTCAAGATGCATTTTATTTATTTATTTTAGTATAGTCTAGCTTTCTCCCACTGTAATCCAATGTTACAATGTTTCCATAATGATGTTCACCTAAGTTATTGCATCTGACTTATAAAGTATTGCTTCACAGTGCTGAACACAGCAACGATACAGACACGGACGATCTGTCATCTTTGGAAAATTCCCTCTCAGCATGGGAAGAGTGGTTCATTTGCAAAGAAAAAGAGCTGCGTGCTCGTTTTCAAGCACAAGCTTTGGAGGTAAATATTTTGAATATGTTCTTTACATCTGGCACTGACTGTAAAACACATTCCCCCATTAAAAATTACTTTGTTCATGGTATCGTAATGACTCTATAGATGCTTTTTCACTTGCCCATTCTTTGATGAGTCCTGTATTATTTGCAAGTGTATGTCTTGTACTATATGTTCTGCTTCATTGGTAACTACATTTTTCTTACCTAGCTGTAATAATTACTTAAACATGAACATTCTTTGATTGAAACCTTTATTTTTTTCATGGTGTATGTATGTCTGCATTTAAGGATTTAGGACACAATGGTTTGTGCTGTGCCCAGGTAAGCCAAGGTATGTGATAAGTCATAAAACATCTGAGCACAGTACAGTGTATTTGATTTATTGTGCTTTGACAGGAGTAGACAAAGTGTGGCCCTGGAGCAAGATGTTTTTATGGCAGTTGACCCCTCCCTAACTGCTAGAGTGATCTTTTTGTGGTCCTCCAAAAATATGAATTGATTTATTAGAAATGTCCAAGAGTGTGACTTCACCTTTCTTATGCTTCTCCCCACCTCTTTTCTCCTCCCTCCCTCTGTTTTGATGTATTTTTGGCCATTCATCTGCCCTTTGAAGGATCTCCAGAGCAGAAACTTGACCCCGTCCCACCACAGTTTCTCTATGAGGTATATTGTTATAATCAAGGCTGGGAAATGATAGACATAGTCTTCTTAACATTGCCTGACATGTAAAGGCAGTCGACATAGACAGGCCATCAGACATTTGGACCCTCCCTTTTTTTCAGTGTCATATATCTCTGTACTGGAATATTTCAACTCAATTAATTCAGTGCCTATCCATACCCAGGTGTACCATACCCTACAACTTGCTTTCCTTGTGCTAATCTTGTTTAAACTGGCTATGTTACTTATCCAGGGTTTCCAGTTATTGGAACAAGCTGGGATATTAAAGCATGGCTTGAAGTTGAGGTTTAATGATGCACTTGCTTGAAGTGTGGCTGTCTGTATGTATGTGAAGGAGCTATATGCCCAGCCAACAGGATCCACCACCCCCTGTCTCATTATATTTAATTGGGGAGATTTGTCCAGATTTGTTAAAAAGCATAGAACAGAAAACTGCATTTTATTACTAACTTGTAGTTGTAAATACCATTCCTGTGCATAGGCAGATGAACATACATAAGGCTGAGGCCTGCCAGATTCATGTGATGACACAGTGATTTGTTACATCTGAATTAGAAACCTACCAGTCCTTGGATTTCACATATTTTTCATTTTCTCCTGTTTTACTTCATACTGATCTGAGGAGTTTTTATAGTTTCTCTCATCCCAAGAGCGTATATGCAGACAGTTCACAAGAGCAGGTGTAATTTCTGCCATCCAATCACTCCTCTAGAAACAACAGAAAGTAAGGTAGTATTTTCCCTCCCTATCAAACCCATCCTAATCACAGCAAAATAGTTTGGAAATGTGTATAAATATATATTTACTGTTTCAGGTTACATTTGTCTGTCAACCTGTGTGAAGGGGCGGTGTGTGTGTGTGTTTCTTATCCAAACACCCACACTAGCTCCTCAGCATTCCTTTTTAGTCACAGAACGGCATAGAACATTGTCCCATGCGTTACATTACAAAAAGGCATGCAACTGGCAAGATGCAATAGATTTGTTGGGGCAAGTTATGTCTTTCAGCTGTTTAGATTTTTATATATATATAAAAAGCCTAGCTGAAACTCAGGGTCATTGCTTTAGTCATTGTATGTGACATTGTCATAAAGTGTAACATTGTAGGTCTTGGTATGCATGAATTCAATAATAAAATGTGACCCTGGAATGTCTTGTTTGCCAAACAGTGGTTCCCAACCTGTGGGTCCCTAGGTGTTTTGGCTTATAACTCCCAGAAATCCCAGCCAGTTTATCAGCTGTTAGGATTTTTGGGAGTTGAAGCCTAAAGCATCTGAGGACTCACAGGTTGAGAACTACTGCAGTATGAGGTATAAATACTGTTTTAGCAACATAGTGAAAATACCTTCCTTGTCACTGTACTTGGTTACATTCAAATATTTCACCTTCATGTTAAAACAATATTGAAGATTACATTTGAAAAAATGCATCACCACAGACATTTTGATTTTCACTTCATCTGTAGCCTTAAGAAAGTCTCTAACCTAATTCTTCTTGCAATTCAGTCTGTTGTATTGAGTAAATTGAGCATATGGGCCCCTCCTTTGACCACTTACATATCCTTCCTACCCTGTGCAACATCTCTGTTGGACCATAATGTTACACAGCCTAAACTTGTGCAGTTGATGTCTTAGGAAAAGTATGTTAATTGCACAATTTTTGGCTTACCTGTGTTGACTTTTACACATGTAGGAAACATCCATCCCCATATAACTGTGAATGGATATCTGGGAAGGAGCAGACACTCCATATTGAAGGAAAGGGCAAGCCCAGTCTTGCGTCTTTTTGCACAAAGGGAAAAAAATCATAGTTCTTCATGGAAAATACTATAGAAATGTTGAAAAATAACAATGGTAAGAATTACTGAAATTATATTGACTTATTTTTAAAAAATGTAACTCAGGCAATGCAAATAATGGTTTGTGTGAGAGAGTTCTGTAGTCCACTCCTGCCATGCACCCTGTGCATGTTATGTCCCACCCTTAGAATTAATATGAGAATCACTAGAGATGCATCCTAGTCTGTTGCTTATATGATTCAGATTTTGTGAATATTACCAGTGTCTTTCTGATATGTAAAAGTATATTTAGGAGAAGAAAAACCTGGAAATTATTGTATCTTTGTTGCTTTAAAATACATTTTGCCCAGTACTTGCAGTGAGAAAGTATTGAGTCTAAACTTACTGAACTGTGTGCAAAGCAATCAGAATGGTTTTTGCCCTTCTCTATAGGCAATGCATAAAGAAATGGAAAAAATGAAAGAAAATGAAGAACGTGAAAAGAAAAAAATAATTGCTGCAGAGAAACACAGAGAATGGGTCCAACGAAAGAATGAAGAGGTGAAACGGGTGATTAATTTATGTTCTATGTTTCATTTAACATGTGTTTGACATATTGAATTGTTTCTACTTTATAGTAGTTAATCTGGGTTGTTAATAGGATTATTTATCAGCCTATGAAATTGGGTTTTTATTCTAATGAAATTATTTTTCCTACTTCACCAGAAATGATTCTCTTACATAGTTTGTTGTTGTGTGCCTTTAAGTCACTTCAGGACTATGGTGGCCCTAGGGCAATCCTACTGTGGAGTTTTCTTGGCAAGATTTATTCAAAGGGGATTTACCATTGCCTTTTTCTGAGACTTAGCAGAGTATTACTTGCCCAAGGTCACCAATTGGGTTTCCATTTCTTGAGGATCTTAATCCAACACTCAAAAGTGCTTCATCATGTTAACTCTCTTACATGGGGAGAACATGGATAAGATTTTTTTCCTACAATCACTTACATCGTCCTTCTAGGAAATGTTCTGGCTCTTTTTCTCAGTAATTAACACCAATTTATGATTGAACAGACTTATTAGACCAATCCTGTTTATGTCTACTTACAAATACATTCAGCTGTATTCACTTTTAGAAAATGGCTATTCATAACCAGGAATCTCCAAAAACCAGGAATCTCCAAAAGCTTTTGAAAGTGTGATCCTTTTGGAGATTAATTGGCATTCACACTATTTGGAATAATCATAACCCTTGGAAAGGCATGACCTTGTTCGAAAACATAACCTTTTGTAAAATATGATCTTCCTGAGAAGAGTTAAAAACTTGCTTGAGTCAAGTGGTAAATATCCACTAGTATTCTTCTCTTCAGTGTTAAATATCCACTAGTATTCATGCAAGGCAATTAGGTTTCTCAGCTCTTAAACTGATATACTTAGATATCTCACTGGACTGTTAGGAATGAAGAATTGCCAAAGCACAAATAGCAGATTTGAGAATTGTTATTTAAGTTGCCCAGAAACATCTACTGTCCCTTAAAACATCTTGGTTTTAATCATGCTCTCAAGGGACCAAAAATGAGCAGTCTTCATTAAAAGAAACACAGTTGTATTGTCGAAGGCTTTCATGGCCGGAATCACTGGGTTCTTGTAGGTTTTTTCAGACTATATGGCCATGGTCTAGAGGCATTCTCTCCTGACGTTTCGCCTGCATCTATGGCAAGCATCCTCAGAGGTCACTACCTCTGAGGATGCTTGCCATAGATGCAGGCGAAACATCAGGAGATAATGCCTCTAGACCATGGCCATATAGCCCGAAAAATCCTACAACGACCCAGAAACACAGTTGGTTTACTTACACACTTCATGTATTCAGCATACAGGCAAATTTCTTATCAATCCAGTTACTGATAGATTTGAAGTAGTTTCTCTGTGCAGATAACACAGGGCATCTTTCTGATAATCAACAGTTCAAAGTCTAAAGCACCTCTCCAGTCTGAGAGTCTAATGGAGTCTCTGACGTTTAAAATGGAGTTAGAGTCTGAACAGTCCCAGATCACAGTCCCAGATCACCACAACATAGAATTAAGGGAAACTGAATACTAATACACACATGTACAATATAGTAAGCAATCCGAATTATATACATAACAAATAACTAGTGGAGACTTGAAGAATGTTGCTATTGCCAATATTCACTAGGACCTACTCCTGGATTAGTCTTAGTTCTTTTCTTACCAGTTCAGATACTTTTTTAATAATGTAAAGAATAATTGAAATACTTTTGCTTAATTAAGAGTTTAGTTCCCTTACTTGGTAGTATCAAAGTCAAAATGAGATAAAATACATAGGCCACATGTACCTGACTCCTTGGATTGCTACCAAAATTCCCATTGGGCCTCCAGTTTTGGCAGTGTCAAAAAATAAAAGCGACCCTGCATTTTTCTTTGAAAACAAGGTGCCTGCAGAGCTGGACCTCTTAAAATACAGCAGAATCACACTCCCAGAAAAAGAAAAATCCAGAGACGTGCAGCTATGTGTGGACTTTCTTTCTTTCTTTCTTTTAAAGAATTTTATTAGATTTTATAAAGAATACAACGAAAGAGTGAGAACAATAAAAGTATAGAAAAGTGAGGGGAAAAAAGAAGAGATAAAGATAAAACACATTCTACAAAAATACTCACACAAAAAGCAAAATGGGGGAAAAGGCAAAAACACAAAACACACACACACACACACAAAAGAGGTGACTTCCATTCCATCTTCTTGGTTATTATTTTCTTATTACTCAAAAATATTTTCCTTACTAAAAAGAGAAAAAAGATAGTAAAATTGTCTCTCTTGTTTTTTATTTTCTCACATTGTCCAGATAGTCTTGAAGATTGTCCCAATTCGTTCTTCTCATTATCTTACCTGTGTTTTTCTTCAACAAAAAAAGTCAATTCGTCCATATCCTTTATTTCTCTAATTTTCTCCACCCACTCCTGTATGGATGGGACTGAATCTTGTTTCCATTCTCTAGCAAAAACAATTCTAGCGGCGGTCGTAATATAAGTAAAAAGTTTATCTTCTTGTTCCGTCAATTGTAAATCTAAATCTGTAAATCCTAACAGATAATACTCCGTTTTTTTTATAAAGATCCTTTTTAAAATCTTTTGTGTTTCTTCATGAATTTTCGTCCAGAACTTTACTGTTTCTTTACATGTCCACCACATATGGTAAAAGGAGCCAACTTGATCTGAACATGTCCAACATTTATCAGAGACTGTTTTATACATTTTAGCTAATTGTTTTGGTGTGGTATACCATCTGTGGAACATTTTTATCCAATTCTCTTTTAGATCCGTTGCGTATGTATTTTTTAATTTTTTGTTCCACATTTGCTCGCTATGTGGGGACTTTCTAGATACCCTTATGGTTCCTATGAAACACATATGCATGTAATCTCTCCAGTGGACACCAAAACCATTGATTACTCACTACCTCTGAGGATGCTTGCCATAGATGCAGGCGAAACGTCAGGAGAAATGCCTCTAGAACATGGCTCTATAGCCCGAAAAAACCCATAAGAACCATTGATTAATTGTTCCCACCACAGACATGTGTCTGAACTCAAGCTTCTCAATATTCCTTATGTGGCATTCTCAGAGGCGCATGTGTATAATAGAAAAAATATTTATGAAACAGAAACTGAGCATAACATTGGACATTACTTATTGAAATTCGCATATTATTCACTGGTAATAGTTCTTACATTTCCCACTCAGATCCTAATTCTAACTTTGTCTAACTACTAAAATCTCTAACTCCTAATCCTAAATAACTTCTAACATTGGTACATTGAACTTTCCTTGACTCACCAGTCTTTTAAAAATCCCCTCAGACATGCCTAGATTTCTTTAGGGTAAATAAGTTGGAAATAACTTAAAGCTACACAACAGCATATTTAATGTATATGCCACATTTTCAGATATTGAATATGTAAAGCCTTAGTGACATGCTACAGGCGTTGCCTGTAGACACCTCCAAGATCATGTGGCCAGCATGACTGCATGAAGTACCATTACTTTCTCGCTGGAGCAGTACCTATTGATCTACTCACATTTGCATGTTTTCAAAGTGCATGGTTATCATGGTGTTCTGTTCTGATAATTTAATAATTTATCATTACTAAACTAAATTAATGAGAAGATATAATAGTTATAATAGGCTAAAATTGCAGATGGTATCAAGATTTAACTAATTTGAAGGTGGTGCACTTATTGGCAGTGGAAGTAGACCGCTTTTCCTTCATTCCTAGTAAGAGATATAAAGGCCAGTCATTTCAATGATAGTAAATATAAAGCGTTGGGAGTAGAAATGAGAGCAAGCCTGCTTCCAGTGCCAGCAAAAGTACTCTGTGCCTGAACAGAGGCAGACAGGAGATAACAATCCCCCAAGATAAAAGGCAGGCAGTCTGAGTCAAAACATTGTCTGAGACCCTTTAGAAGTGGAGGCCTAACTCAAGATAACCTCCTGTCTTTCACTGAAAGGTAGCAGATGGGCAGGGGTAAATTATTAAGGCATTACAGCACTAGTAGCATAATTATTATCCTATAGCACCAGATCCTGTCTGATCTTGGAAGCTTTCCAGGGCCAGCCATAGTTATTACTTGAAAGGGAGGGTGCCAAAGCTGTAGACTATATTTCAGAGGAAAGACCTGGCAAAACCACCTCTAATCCTTGTCTATGAAAGCTATGAAATTCATGGGATTGGTATAAATCAACAGGTAACTTGAAGGCATGTGCCTTCATAGCTTCCCCCTGCACCTTGAGAGGAAGCACCAGGCAGTTCAGAACATAGGCAAATCAATCCCAGCATACAGGCGTCAAGGGGAAGAGCCACAGGACAGGAACAAGATATGCTGAATCCCTGAGCAGTAGCAGCTCTCAGCTTTCAGATATGATTGCAGTCAAGCTACTAATTGGCAAATGCTTATTTAACAAAACAGACATGCATACTATCAGTGCTAATGTCTTGTGAATCATTGTTGACAAGAGACATGAGAGCTGGGTCAATCATATTGTGGCAGATGGTAGTCGGGAAAGACAAAATAGAAACACAGAATCATAGATTTAGAAGAGACAGCTCTGTAACACTGCTCAAGCTAGAAGTTCTTCATAAAGGTCCATTTGAGTCAATTCTATTCACTTTGTGTACATCAAAGACTAATGTGCTGATTCAACCCTCAAAGAGTTTTGGTCTTTTTAATATGCGCTCAAGCACACCAGCTATTAATTGTAGCCAAACTGTAGCTTCTGTCATTGGTTATTGTATCATCTTCTTCCTCTTCCCCTCCCCTCTTCTTATTCTTACTATATTTCTAGTTTGTACATCTGTTTTCTCTAAAATACTCAATATCCTCTATAGGAAAAGAGGGAAAGGGAACGTAAGCTCAGCAAAGAGATGGCAGAAAAAGCAGCCAAAGAACTTAAGAAAGCACAGTCAAGGGAAAAAGCAAGAGAAGTGTATCTGGAATGGCTGAAGAAAAAGAACACAGAAGAGGTTCAGAAGAAGAAGGACGAGAAGGTATATCTGATCCCATGTTGTCATTTCAAAAAAAAATTAATAATAATAGGGGACTTTAGCATCCATTTTGGGATGTAATTCATCAGCTTTTTCGTGACCTGCCTTGAGTTTTTTTTGCTGTTCAGCTTGACTTGTGATCATTGAGTCTTTTTACCACGTGGCTTGGCTTATTTTTTGGCTTTATTTTTTTAGTTTTATTATTGAATCTTTCAGACACCAGTGACACAGTGTGTGGTCTCTGCTTCTGATTGTGTAACACTGTGATGTGGACTGTTGCCTTTGAATGCATCAGTGGTGTGAACATGTATGCTGTGTGTGGAAGACCCAACATTTCTTTCTCAAATAGGGATATTCATAAAATAAGGCTGATTGAGGGAAATATGATATCTATATTGAATAGCTTGCACACCTATTTCATAATGTGTAGATTTTAAAAAATGCTTACAGTTTCTAAAAATCGTTTGTTTTTCTCTGTGGTCAATAAACTGTAGCTCTTACAAAATAAGGAGATAAGCATTCTCAAAAACAGTGGTTGGCATTCTGTTCAGTTGTTTTGAGATTGTAAACTAGATTTATGGTCTTGTAAGCAGTGGAAATTCATGTCACTAACAACCCAGTGCGATTGGTAAAACCCAGCTTCTTAGTATGGCAGCACCAAATCTGAAGGGTTTGGTGCTGGAAAATGGCATCTATGTACAATTGTTTTGTGGATTCTCAACACACTCCACAACAAGGAGAGCACTTTAAGAATCATTTCCCAGCACCCTAATCTGCAGCACTTTAGAAACTTTTCAGATGGGGCAGTTCCAGGCTGAAAAGATGTGCATTGGAAGGGGGGGGGGGGGTAGCTTCATTTTACATAGCTAAAATGGAAAGGCTCTGTCAAAGTTAAATCTGATGAAGCAGGACCTTGGCTAGCATTTTTAATTTGGAATCCATGTCTTGTCACAACCCAAACATTTTTTAACAAAAATGTCACATCAAAATGAATATACTTTTAGCATTCATTTTATTTTGCTTTGAGGTTCTTTCCAGATTCAGATCTATTTCGTAAGAATATTTACTCAAATGTTTGGCTTTTGTTCTTTTGTAGGAGAAAGAAAAGCAGCTAGAAGCTGAATTGCAGGAGAAAAAACAAAAATCAGAAAAGATGTTCAAAGAATGGCTGCAAAACACGAAACAGAAGGCCCGTCCAGAATCAGCTGTTTGTGTTGACGAAAATGGGAAACTTCCTGGTTTGTATCTATAGTAGACATAATGCCTCCATAACTTGCATAGTAGTATCTATTTTCTGATATCTTCTCTGTTTATTTTCAAAGTTTTTTGTTCAAAAGTGTTCAAGTGTTAGCAACTTTTGTTTATAGTTGATGAAAAAAACTAAAAACTAAAAAAAAAAAATGTGGTGGGAATGCGAAAGAAAATCCAAAAGTTCCAAGAAATAATCAGGAAGGAAATGGAGGAGCTATTAGGGATAAATATAGAATGGAACAAGACCCATTTTTTCACCCAGAAATTGGAAAGTAAAGGGGAATATAAAGTAAGTGAGGAAATAATAAATCACATGATAGAGGCAATCAAAGCCTCAGTGGCCCTAAGCTGGAAGGACCACAAGAAATGGGATATAAAAACTTGGTATAAATATCTAGCCAATTACCTTCTCCAAGATTATATTAGCGAAAGGAAAAGTTACTATATGACGGGTCAAAGCAGAAGGACATGGGAAGCAAAATGTACAGAATAAAGGGGAAAGATAAATATATTCTCATTATTGAACAATTACGGGGGGGGGGGGGGGGGGGGGGTTGTGGTGGTGGTGAGAATGGGGAAAATACTGGTATTTTGAATGTTAATTTCAAAGATGGTATGTTTCTATGTATTATACAATTAAAAAAACTTTAATTTTTTTTAAAGTTGATAAAAAAACATACCAGAAAAGGCAGATATTGCCCCACATTGAGGAGTGTAGTCTAAATCTAGTTGTTAATACAGACTGTAATTGAATCAGTGGGACAGTTGAATCAATGGAACTTATTAAAAATCAACATCAAGTTCCCATTTACCATTGAGCCAGCTGTATTCGGGACTACAAAATGGATTAAAGTATATGTATTTGGTAAATCGTAAAATAATTTAGCATTGAGCTACGGAAAACTAATTAGCTCAATGTAAAATCATTCTCCTAGGTTCAGTGTCTTCTATGCTTGTGTTTTTATTTTTCTTTCTTTGATTTCAGCAGTTAATAAAATCATCCTTTCATTTAGTTTAGTCTAAAGCTAAATTTTGAGCAATGTAGGAGTCAGTTCTGACTGACTGTGACCAAAATTAAACTATATAGGCCTTAAGTCATGTTGAAATCAATTGCTCTTCAGGACATGGCACTACATATGTGATTCATTATTTCTGTCCTTACTCTATTTTTATTATTATAATAATAATAATAATAATAATAATAATAATAATAATAATAATAATTATTATTATTATTATTATTAATCAGGGCTATTTCCAGCAAAAGTTACAGGGAAAGAAACATTCAGAGGAGTGTGACTGCCTTGTTTCCCTTTAAAAAGCCTATAATTTCTATAAATACACTTCTCAGTTAAACTGCATTCCCTTTTCATTTTTTCTCATTTGCCAAATACGTTGCTGTTATAGATATGTTAACACAAAGATTTGGACAGAGTTGTTGCTCTTGGGAAACACAAACACCAGTGGCACTTCTGTATTACTCTGATTGCAAATTGTGACGCATATTTCTTTCATGCCTTGTGTTGAGACATAGTCACTTGCTGACAGCTGTCATCACTTTCTAAATGATACATTAAAAATATTCCCCTCCAGTTTTATTCACACAATGGAAAATATTCCAAACTTTGTTTTGACCGCCTCAATAAAATATGTGTTGAAATTTCTTTTCAGATGAAGAGGATTGTCATGGCAAAGGATCACATTCTTGCTTTCATAGTTTAGATATAGCCCATAAGGAATGCTTCTCCTTTTGGGGAAATGTAGTTAAAAATTAAGCCATAATGAAAATAAACTAGCTTTCAACTTGCCATTTCACTTAGCTATTCCAATAATATTGGTTGGATGCTGAAAACTATAAGTGTGGAAAAACTTCAGAACTGACTTCTTTCCTTGCCCCATTTACCCAGTGCTAACAAAAAAAAAGGGTTTTTTTCTCCATAGAGTTGGGAAATCCTGCTGGATATGATCTTAGAAGCTGTTAGGGAATGGAGGGCTTACTTCAAATCAGGCAAGAACCTCGCAAACACAAAATGCCTTGACACCAGTTTCCATGCCTCATCCCACTTAATTGAAAGAATAATCATGATACTCCAAGAAGTTTAAGCATAAAGGATGATATCTTTGCATGAACTATCATTTCCGGATACAGGGTTTTGTAATTACACTGCTGAGCTGCCGGGGAGGAAAACTAGGTAACTTTCATATAGCTCTGTTTTTAGCTCTATCCATCACATTTTGTGTATTTGATTAATGTAGTCTAGGCATTTCTAGCTCCTCCAGTGCAACTCTGTGGTCCATGTCTGCTGGAAGCTGACCATAGAGTCATATTGGAGGATGTAGAGATATTTTTTATTCACTATTTTCCCATTTTCACAGGAGGGCTGCTCCCACTTAGCCCTCTAAAAGTGTAAGGTGTACCGTATAAGTAGATACTACATGATATCTGACAGTACCTCTACATAGCGAATTAGAGTGCCATCCAAATAAAATATTTGTACTTCTAACTGTTCTAAAAGGTTTTCACTGAATCCTGGAGGCCATTCCAGATGAAGCTATTAATGTGGCAAAAACTTGAGGTTCTGGACTAACCCATCTAGTACATACCTGGCTCTAGTTCAACCATACTGAACAATACAAAGAGTTAATTTGAGTATTACAGGGAATATGTTAGAGGAGGCAAGTCAAAACCAGGACTTCAGCAATACATGTATCTCCCCCTCCTCGAAAATTGCATTTTTTCCGTTTGTTGTTACAGTGTGCAATACCTTTGTTTATCATATTGTGAGATGACATTTCAGTTCTATATCTGTCAGGGAAAACAGAGGCCATCAGTATATGTGGGCAGTGAGTACATACAGGATATGTTTACTGTAAGCACTGTGAACAGTGAAAGTCAAGCTTGATTGATAATGCAGGAAAGGAAATTAGGCAGTTTGTGGACCATGGTTGGAAGAATGATTGTAGTCTTGTATGGTCACAGTTTTTTTTAAAAAAAAAACCAAAACTGTAGTATTGGGTATAATATTCCATTGTTACAAAGTTCCTCAACTTTTCAAATTACAAGAAAGGAATGTTAATACTAACAACTATTATTAATCCAGGTATTAAAAGTTTTTAATTTTGTGTGGTTTCTGACACATTTCAGGATTCCCAGATGGAAGTGTCTATCCAGCTCCATCTTTTTGCAACCCCATACCTTGGAAACCAATCCATGTGCCTCCTCCTAAGGAAGAGAAGTATGTTTCAGTGAAGAAAAATAAGAGGCCTATACCCAGTCATTCACATAGACATTCTTCAATGCTTTTTCATAAATCCAAGAATGATCTTTATATTGGACCTTTGTGCAGGATTAAGAGATAACCCTGGGCATTTTATTCATTTTTTTAATGTTTAATTAATGTTGTAAGATGTTACATTAAGACCAAAATATTGTAAGTGCCTGTGATTTCTTAACACTTCTTGCAAATGTTTTTGTATGTACAAAAGGAATCTGAAAGACAATAAATGGCATATGAATGTTAATATCTTTTCTATACAATGTATTCTGAGTTTCATCCTAACAATAAAAAGTAATTTTTTCCAGTCTTTCCCCAATAATTTGTGGACTTCAGGTACTGTGTTTCCAGATGTAACTTTCCAATGCTTGATGATTAGGCAGCTGTTGCTTCAAAATATTGTCACAGAGCAGTAGAAAAGGAAAGCAGCTTCACCGAGAGTGAGCTTTTGACCTTTTGGTCCTACTAATATCAACATTTGGCTCGAATCCTTCTATGCTTGCATAGCATATTTACAGAGTGTGATGCTGGAGAACTTCCTAATAACACGTTTGATAAATGTTTTGTAATATGGCTTCTTTTAACGTACTATGACGTATTACAGAATAAACCACGGGGTCATTTAATGTAGTGTAATTTAGCTACTCTACATTTTCATTTTAGTATACTACATCTTCAGCTCGCTTCATCTCTTCTTATTGAATGTTATATGTATCAATAGTTATTCATGCTTGATGTGTTCTTAATGTAGTGTATGTACAGTAATAGTATTTGTCTACAAATTTTATAATGATTTTTGCATTATGAAGATGTTGTGACTTGTAAATAGACTCAAAAGATTTTGCTTTGTGGCAAAGTCTTTAAAAATAACTCTTTGTAAAATCAATTGTCAGCAAGACAACACAATCTTACAGCTCTGATAACAGATGGCGTAATGAAATGTATTTGAGGGCATGGAGATGTTGCTGCCATTAACAAAGTACATTTAAACAAGTAACTTGATCTCTTTTGTTTAAAATTCACTTTCTTTTGAAGCTGGTCTTTAGAAAAGGGGTCTATAAAGAGTACAGTACTTCCCCTGTATCCATGGAGAATACGTTCCTAGACTTCATGCGGATATGTGTAACCATGGATAATATTGAACCCTATTGAAATAAAGAGTTCTGCTTGAGGACCTAGAAAAATTATAGAAAAGACTTTTGTTTGATATGGATAAGTGAAACTATCGATACAAATCCTATGGATACAGGGGCCATCCTGTACACACACATACATGTTGTGGTTGTTGTTGCTAACCGCCTTCAAGTCAATTTTGACTTACGGTGACACTATGAATGAGAGATCGCAAACTCACCCAGTCCTCAACAACTCTGCATTAGAGGAGTGATTAAGAGGAGCAACCCTTGGGATGAGGTATAATAGCAAAATGTTGTTGCTACTTTGTCCTCCGTTTGAGTATTGTGCTGCAGAATATTTTATGACCAAATACCTGTGTGTGATAAGTGTTGCCAGGCCGAATACTAGTCAGGTCTCCTGTATCTTTGTTATTTCAAAGAGAAAATTGTTATATAATCGGGGAGAGAGCAACCCTTCTTTAATGCAGTCATTAAATGTTTTGGTTCCTTCTTCAATTTGTACTCTGGCAGCCCTGATATGAACATAAGAATATGTATCAAAGTTTCAGAGGCAAACAGGAGCTATTGGTAAAATAGTGATTCCACAAGTATAACTAATGAGTTATAAGTCATTCAGTGGAACTGATAGAAGTTTGTCTTAATGTTCACATTTATGCACAGAGTTTTCCTTTTGCACACATGAGCATTTAGACACTTACAAGAGTGGGCAAAGTTATCTCCCGGGGCCATACTGTAGGCTTCATTCGCACCTATGATTTAAATGCAGCACATGTAATCATCACTTGTGGTTGTGAAGGAACATGCTACCTGACCTTGTACTGCTTTGCAGTTTTGTTCTGTTTTTCAATTCTGGGAGAGATGTGCATTTGTGCACCAGAGGCACATAGGTAGGAAAAAAGGGGTAAGTGACAGCAGCGGAGGTAATCAATTACCCTTCCTTGGGGGCCCATTAGCCCCATGCTGCCCAGCCATGCCCTTGGGGCTTTTTCGGCAGAAACCATTTATTTAGTGTGTGTCAGCAGAGAAAGGTATCTACAATGCACTCCACATTTTGTGGAATCGATTTCGCCCTGTATCTGGGACACAGTGACATCTGCTGCAGCATTTTTTGACTGAACTCAGACTTTCTTGAGACTTTAAAAATGAATTGTGTCTCTAATGCATGCTGTAGCACACAATGATGGTGTGTGTTTTGTGGCCACCGCAGATCGAGTGCTTCAAACTACATTATTGGAGAATTTCTCTTCCTAGAGACTTACAGAATTGGAAAAAAGACATTTTTACCAACAATATTTAGGGGCTGGAGTTCCATAGAAAGAGTTGTAAGCCAGTTAGGTGTGGCCCATTGGCCTGCAGTTGTGTGTTTCCTCTTTCTGGTATTAATGCAGACTTAGTGAAATACCTAGCAAAGGCGTTCAATCATTTAAAATGTTTCTCAGTGTTCCAGTGTTATGTAGTTTTGTAAGATTAAAAATTTGAGTAACAGTGATGCAGTGAAACTATAATTCTACTTTGCCTACAAGTCTTTGGCTATTGTCTTTACTGGAGAGATTTGGACAATCATCTACAGAGGGAACCAGTATAGAAAACAGTCTTTGAAATAGGTGACATTAGTGTTCAATTCCCAGTTGCATCACATGCATACCTACTTTTTGAATAGTTTCCGTCACTTGCAGATTTCATCAGTGCAGTGCATGATAAATCTGTAGGCATGCTTGCAATCCCAAGGCATATGGTATGTTTTCATTTTTAAAGGACTAGGCTAGAAAAAGTTTCACCAATGAACCTTACTGTTCCCCAAGATGTCTAGCACTGCCAATATCAATATTACCTCTATATGTATCTACTGAATTTACAGAAGTGCTATACATGTCTTCCCCTGAAAATACCTGAAAGTTAATATGATATATTTGAATGTGTTAATAATTATTTCCACAACCATAGTTGAAAGAGATTACTCTTGTTGAATGTTCTATGTAGTCTTATTTCAATGTTAGCAGAGGTTTGTTGATGCCTCCATTTAGATCAGAGGTGAAGAAGGTATAGTCCACAGGCCTCATGCAGGCCCTAATCTAACTTTGGTGACTTTCAAAGTCCCCAAACATACCATATTTATTTTTGCCCGTTTTTCTCCCTAAAAGGCACAAAATGCCTTCTCCAACCACTTGAACCCCCTCATCCTCAATACTTACATTTTCTTCCATTTCCTCTTCCAAAAGCCAACAGGAAATTATGTGGCACCTCTTCCAATTGCCTTTTGGGAAGTAAAACTGTATTTTGGTGTGGTGCAGGGTGCAGGAGGAGATGAAAAATTGTTCCCCAGGTCCTGCAGAATTGTCCACTCCTGATTTAGCCAGGGATCAAGTAAAATCCATTTTAAAATGGATTCTATATATTAAATAATTACAACCATAATGGTTCTTCTGGTTCACTGTTTGTCTGGTCTTTGTAATTGCAGAGCTCCAGTGTCAACCCAGGTGCGGCTATTTGGGGAGTGAAGTGAAACAACGGGATACTCCTCTGCTTTTCATACTGTAGCATGCAGTAAAATAAATGGAAGGCAGAGTACAACATACAGTGAGTGGTAGTATTGCTGGAGTGTAGTAAAATAGTAATAATGGTATTTTTTCATTATACTTAAATTTTAAGTACTACTTGGTAAAAACTTTCATTTTAGGTCTAGGGATCAAGCTACTGTAGGCTTAGCACTTTCTCTGTAGTGCAGGACATCTGCAAAAAGTGGAGAAACTGAATTAAAAAAATGTTTTTTAACCTCAAAGAACATTTCTCTAGGACTCCTGTGTCCTCCAGTGCAACACTCTGGTCAACTTTCACTGAAAGTTGATCATAAAATCATGCTGAAGGACTTCCAAATGCCCAGAGAAGTGTTTTCTTTAGGAATCTCTGAGTTCTGCAGTGTAACTCTTGTCAGCTTTCAGCAGGCATTGACCATAGATCATGCTGGAGGATCTAGAGATTTCCAGAGAGAGCATATTAATTAAATTAATCCATAAATAGTAAAACCCACAAAAGTTAAGCCCGCAAATGAGGAAGGCCAGCTGCACATGTATTTAAAAGATGTGGTTTCCTGAAGAAGGAAAATGGTTTTTGTTCTTGACCAGCAACATCCCAAGTGCACAGAATACCTCATGCTAGCTTTCAAGGCTCCACTGGCTTCTTTGTCAGGCAAAGCTGTTAAAAGAAAGAAGAAAGGGAATATTAATGGCTTACCTTTTGTCAATATAATGTTTTTGATATCAAGTTAGAATGGTTGGGAGGGTTATCAATGCAGGCAGAGATCACTCTCCCCATTGGGCACTGGGGCATAAACATGGGCTTAAAATTTACAATTCCGATTGGCGAGGCACTTGCTAATTTTGGAGGAAAGACGTTAATTGATAGAAACACACATTTCCCTTAAGATCTAGCTGGATTTTAATTATTCACTCCTCTTGTATATTACATTCTGTATAACGAAAGCTTGTGTCACCTTGCTGTCTGACCCAATCAAGATAGATGGATGGAAAGATCAATGCTCCTTGATTGAATGGAGATTATTAATGATGAGATGTATTTCTTGCTTTGCACTAAATCCAGCCTGCACAATTTGTGGCCCTCCAGGTATTTTGGATTTCATCTCCCAGAATTCCTGACTTTTGAACAAGCTGTCTAGGACTTCTGGGAATTTGAGCCCTAGACACTTGGGAGGGCCACAGGTTGTGCAGATCTGCATTTAATGCCTTTTACAGTTGTGCTGGTCAAGTTTCATTCAAATGGCTAGATAGTAAACTCAGGGCTTATTCTCTTGGACCAAGAACAAAAAAGAAACCTTGTATTAAAAAAATTAAGACCCCTTCTTCACTGTCATATAAAATCCAGATTATCTGCTTCGAACTGGATTATATAGTAGTGTGCACCCATACAAATTGGCAGTATTTAGATGTCCCTCTCCAAAATCATTTTAGTTGTTGTTTTTAAGTATTTTTATTTTTTTATCATAGTTATTACATTTGTTAAACATTTGTTTATACCAATTACATATTATTCAACACACCATTTAACATATAGTCTTATCATTTTAGTTGTAATGGTGCTCTTTTCTTACGTTACACCATGAACATACATGCATTCTGGGGTACTTATCTTTTGTTTTTGAAGGTAATTGACACTA